AAGATGGAGAGAGAAGCGATGGCTAGGGACGAAGGGTGGAGTAGCAGACACCGACGGAGTGACGAGAATCGACGAAGTGACTTGATGGTGGATAATATGCGCAATGGTGACGACGTTGGCGCCATCGCGGAAACCGTGAGAAGGCTGTGCAGACCACAGTGCGAATTTTATTGCGTTCAGGGCTTCCTGAGTCAATCAGCAGCTAGGAGGAGTTTATGACGGCAGCGTCTCAAAGAGGCGGCTAAGAAAACGGCCTGTTGATTATCGTCCGTATATTGAAAACATACGAAAGGATAGTAGTACTCTTGCAGCGTACTAACACGGAAAGCTGCCTCAAGTTTCTCTAAGCTGTTTTGTCAGGAATGTTGATGATTGAAAATGAAAGGGAGAGAGAAACTTGAATGAGCAAGAGGAGGGGGAAGGAGGAAAGGGAAGATGGAGTAGCAGACATGTGTTATATTTCGCGAGATCGACGGCGGTGGTCGAAGCACTGGACTCGCGCTGATGGCGGCATGCTTCTGGCACGGCGCGGTAAAAAATTGAACGGCCAAGCTCGCTGACTGCCCTGACTCGCTGTTGCGACTCGCATTATGTCGGTGTAGGGTAGTGCGTTTTACAATACAAGATGGTATATGGGTGCTTAATGAGTGGTCAGGATACAGTATGGATAGAACAAACGAGATAAATTGGCAACAGTTTGTCACGAAAAGTCAAGTCTGTGCTTCCTGTCCGAGAATGGCGAAAGTGCAGCTTCACGTTACAAGAATTCCGCGTGACGAAACCAACCGCCACAACACCCACGCTCCCGCCACGCGCTTTCCCTTCCCCGCGCCACCTCCGCCCATCTCAGTTCCGCATAGTCCCCCGCCAACAACCCATCTGCCCCCTCCCTCCCGCTGAGCCAGGCCTCCCCCCTTCCCCGAGCTCCATTCCCGGTGCCCTTTGCACGGGTTGTACTGTACACTGTACTCCATTTCCCCTTTCTCCCCAAGATCGCAACATACGCGCAAGCACATGTACCCCCATTCACCATTCCCCTCCCCAGGTGCTCCCCCAGTGCTTCTGGTCCCTCCCACCCGTGTTGCTTCCTCTCCCCTCCTTCCCCTACTTTCCCTTCTTCCTAGGCTGCTCCGTCCCTAGTTTCCGCTTCAACAAACTTCACTCACTGGTGTTTTTTTCGTTTTCCCTGTTACCCTGTCCTCCTCCCACTACACGTTTGTTAGGTTTCCTTCCCTTGTGTTGTTGACGGACCTAAACCGTTTACAGCATTTGCCGGCGCTTTTTTTAGATAATTACCTATGCGGTTTCGCCTCCATGGATTTCACAATCGTATGCTGCAGGCGTCCTTATTATTCGTGAGCTAGACTTGACTTTAAGCTGGATAATTGGCCCTGAATAGAAGTATTTAGCATAGCAGCTCCTTTGATATATATAGCTTAATAGGGGTATTTTACCCCTATTTAGGGTTGCGTGAAGCTGGGGGAGCCAATGGCTGTCGTGTCGGACGAGCCGATAGAAGTGAAGTTTCGGTTAGCGGACGGATCGGACATCGGTCCAAATAAGTTCGAGCAGGAGGCTACTGTCTTGTCGCTCAAGGAAAAGATACTTGCTCAATGGCCCGGAGGTATTTAAGCTATGGATTTTTATGTACTACTTTTTTCGTTGACTTGGTGTGGTTACTTCCTTTGCTGTGCTCTTCTGCCAGCCGTCTCTGCGTGCTTGTTTAGTCTCCACGGTTTGCACATGCCACGCTAGCGTCGTTATTCTCGCTTGTTTTTCTCGTACCATTCCGACGACGCCATATCCATGCCTGTTCAGACTGAAGTCTTCCTCTTGACATAAGTTAACGTCACTCCTGTGTCCCCATCACCCGCCTGCGTATGAGCTACCTTCAGTCACGCCCGGCGGTCGCATACGGTTGCCGCTATCTTACGTTGCGCCTTTCTTTTTCGTGCCACGCTGATCGTTTCTCCTTTCCCTACGATAACACCCCCTAAAACAGAATTGAAAGCATTTCGCAAAACTACTCAATGTATGCTTTCCTATCGGAAGGTCGCGAATATAATTCCGCTCTCCCACATCTGTTCCCGATTCCTTTGCTCTGCAGAGGGGGGTCCAAAATCGGTGAATGAGATTACCCTTATTAACGCCGGGAGATTGCTGGAGAATACTAAGACGCTGTCGGAGTCTCGTGTTCCTGTGAGCGAGATCGTAGGCACTCCGATCACAATGCACGTCGTCGTTCACCCAGCTCAAGCAGACAAAACCGCAGGTACCCGTTCTCTCTCCCACCTCTCTCTCTCTCTCTCTCTCTCTCTCTCTCTCTGTCTCTCTCTCTCTCCCTCTCTCTCTCCCTCTCCCTCTCCCTCTCTCTCTCCCTCTCCGCCTCTCCCTCTCCCACTCCCTCTCCCACTCCCACTGACTCTCCCTCTCCCTCTCCCGCTCTCGCTCCCGCTCCCTCCTCTCCCTCCCCTTCCCCCCCCGCCTCTCCCTCCGCCTCCCCTTCCCCCTCCACCTCCACCTCCCTGTCCTCTCCCCCCCCTCTTCCCACCACCCCCCCCCCCCCCTCTCTCGCTCTCCCTCTCTTTCACTCTTCCTCTCGCACTCTTATCTACTTCATTTCTCTCCGTTTTGTCTCACCCCTCCCACCCGAGCACCCCTTTCTGTGTCGGGAATTCTTGTCTTTTTCTGTGTCGGCATTCCTTCGCGCTCCCTCTCGCTCATCGTACTCACTCTCCATGCCTTCCCTTTGATGCTTGCGTTCCGCGGCGTTTCCTGCGTCGTTTTCACATCTCTACTTTCGTCTGACCACCTCCTTCTGTTTGTTCTGTCCGCCTCTCCACCTGCCATCCCCCTATCTTTCTTCCTTCTGTTCCTCCTAACCCCCAATTTCTGTCCTCTCTCTCTCTCTCTCTCTCTCTCTCTCTCTCTCTCTCCCTCTCTCTCTCCCCCCCTCTCTCTCTCTCTCTCTTCCTCCCTCTCTCTTTGTTCCTTGCACTTGTGTCCCCCCCAACACCCCTGCTTTCCACCCCTGGCACTCCCCCTCTTCCCCCCTCCATATCTTCTATTTGCAGCAACACAACAACCAGCTGATGCAGCCTCAGGCAGATGTGGTTGCACCATTCTTTGATCTCGCCGTCCACCATCATTTCGCGAGGTTCCCAACTACTGGTCGAAGCTGCAAATCAATTATGATGAGATGCCCTGTGTAGATGCCTACTTTTGCTTTATTAGACTAATGTATGAGGAACTGCTGTCCGCTTGTAAGAAAGTTTTTTTCTTGTAGCTAACACAAGTCTTAATTTCAGGTGTCCACATGCTGAATCGGAGAATGTTATTTATGTGCTCAGTCTGTTCCCCAGTCTATGAAATACTTCACCAGTTTTTATCTTACCAACCGTTACATCAATCAGCTCAATCAGTCAACTTGATCATTTCAAGCAAGCTGGACGAGTCATCCACCACCTCCAACTAGATCACAGGTTTCCACACTGAGGCCATTGTTTCTGAAGATGAGCAATGTTAGAGCTTTTGTGTAAACCAAATGGCAGATAAAATTACGATGAAAAACAGTACAAGTCAACTCGTCAGCTTCATAATAAAGAAAACATACAATCAGATACTGTTAACACTAGCATACTGCTAAAACAGGCGCAGACCAGAGCAAACCTGGCGAAGGTCTATACAGAGCAGAATTTATTTAACCGCCAAACCCATAGAGCGTGCGGCCTTGGCGTTTCAAAGCATAGACGACATCCATGGCGGTAACGGTCTTCCGGCGAGCGTGCTCAGTGTACGTCACAGCGTCTCTGATAACATTCTCAAGAAAGACCTTAAGCACGCCTCGAGTCTCTTCATAAATCAGGCCACTGATGCGCTTGACTCCGCCACGCCTTGCGAGACGACGGATAGCCGGCTTGGTGATGCCCTGGATATTATCGCGAAGCACCTTTCTGTGTCGCTTGGCTCCGCCCTTTCCAAGACCCTTGCCACCCTTTCCACGGCCTGACATGGTGTGACAAGAGAAACTATCAACGGAAGGAAATGCCTACGAACTGAAGGAAAGCTGCACGTAGTTGATGCTTGAGAAAGTTGATGGGGAAATGAAGGTTGCAGTTATAAGTTTGGAACAGAAGCGCGATTGATATACTGGCAGCTGCTTCTGCTAGTTGTGATGTGATGGAGAAGGAAAAGGCGAAGACAGGTCACAGGCAGGGGAGCAGGGCTGCACGGACTTGCTTGGCTTCGCCTACTCCGAGCCAAAGCTCCAAAGCAAATTGTTCGGACGCGAGATTCGAGCTTGGTTCGGCAGGCACGAAGTAGTGGCCTGGGTCACCGCAGTTTGTGCTGAACAAAATTGGTTCTTCGCTGATCGTAACCGTTGATACAGCTGTCGTGCTTTGACGGTCGATACTCGTTTCGGTTTGGAGAAGCTCTTGTCGACAAGCGTCGATAGTTCCGAGATCTACGGCTGGACGCAGATCTCGTCGACCCGAGTGATGAACGCCCATTCGTCACTTCACAATCAAGAAAACACGGGTTAACAAAGTCCTCGTTTTGCATTTCAAAATCCGCCAACAGAAATAACATAGACAGTAGCAAAGTGCAAAACGCAACTGCCTTCATAGATATTACCGTAGTCACCACACCATTTGAGTTCCGGATAGTGGAGTGGACCACCTTTTGTGTTTCAATAATCGAAGGTAGCAAAAGGAGTTAAGCTGTTAACAAAAACTATGCTGTAAACGTGGAGAAGTGGCTAATAAGGATCGCCAACCAGCAAGGAGCTCGTTGAAACACGCCATACGTGTGGAGACACATACCCCCAACACAATACTACTGACCGACTCTTAGGTGCCGACAATAGAGGCATTAACTAAAGTGTACTGATCCTTGAGGAGAAGCCTCCAAGCTAATGATTCCCATTGGATAGCACTTCTTACGGTACAACCGTACAACTCTTTGGATACACGTCACATCACCACTGTTAATCCGCAAAATCAGTCTTCTTTCACGTAACGATTCTTCCTTTGGCCGAAGAGGGCACGCTGAGACATTACAGAGAAATAAGAGGAAAAGGTTTCAGGAAAACATGAAGGTCTCATGGTACCAGAAATTGCTTGCAGAACTGGATAGTGATGATGCTTATGGAAACCATCAGTGACTCACTATATGCACATGGTGGGCACAGATATTGCTTGCAGACTTAGCCCTTGGCAACTACCCCAACAAAAATAATCTCCGTACAATTGACATAACTGTAGGTTCCGTCATGTACGTGACGTTGCTGCATACCTGGAATATTTGCGAGAAGGCTTTTGGCTTGGTGAGGAACTTTATGTAGGTAGAGGTGTTGGATCTGCTAGCAGGCACCTCTCTCACTCGTGGCACGAGAAATTGCGCGACCTGCGACAGAACGAAAGTGGGGGGGAAGGGAGAAGAGAGATGGGGGGGTAAAAGGGGGAGGAAGGTGAACAAAGTATAGACTTATGGCGTAGGTGGAGGTGTTGGCGCCACTAGCATGCACCTCTCGTTCTCGTGGCACAAGGAACCTAGCGACCTGTGGGAGCATCCCTAGGTTCAATTATTGAATGTGGTTTTCTACCAACTCTGCACCCGCCCACTGCACTGCACTGCACCGCACCGCACTGCACCTTGATGCACGGATGCACTGCACCAATCAACACGTACCTCCTCTGCAGGCTCTGCCAGGGCGTTGATAAAGAATTTGGCCTGCAGAGACATACAGATTCACGTTGGGAGAAGGGTGTGCTGCACCGCACTGCACTGCACTGCACCAATCAAGCACGTACCTCCTCTGCTGGCTCTGCCAGGGCGTTGATGAAAAACTTGGCCTGCAGAGGGGAGGGCCATACAAATTCATGTTAAAAAGAGGTAAAAGAAAAAGATGGGAAAAACAGCGAGGCAGGTGTGGCATGTGCCGCACGACCGAACCAGGGGGAGGGATAGAACAGTCACAACAGGGGGTGTGTCAAATCACTTTTGAGACTAGTCATAAGGGGCAGGGATCCCAGAGACGACAAAGCAGAAGACACAGGAGCCTACAGGCTACTCCCCTCACCTGCGGAGTGTTGGCGCCTGACATGAGCAGGTCTGTGGTCACCATGCCGGGCTGATGGGAAGGGGGAGGGGGAGGAGGGGGTGAAGCGGGGTAAGCCCTTAAAGGAATGCATTCAAGTGCCTGGAGTGTTGGCGCCGGACATGAGCAGGTCTGTGGTGACCATGCCGGGCTGATGGGAAGGGGGGCTGGGAGGGGGAGGTGGAGTGAATGGAGTAAGAAAATGCACTCGGGTGCCGGGAGTGTTGCTGCCCGCCTGACATGAGCAGATTAGTGGTCACCATACCGGGCTGATGGGAAGCTGGAAGTGGGGAAAGGGAGGGAAGAAGAGAAAGGTGAGAGGTTAGAGTGGAGGGTGGGGGCAGAGAGAAAACAAGACATCCTTTTTTTACCCAGTCAGGACTCACCGAGAGGTTGTGCACCACGTCGTTGGGGAGCTTGAGCATCTTGAGCTCTGACAGGTTGAGCTTGAGCGTCTAGGTGTGGTGGTTAAGCAGGTGGGGCGCGTGTGTGTGTATGGGGTAACCACCCCACCAAGACGCCATCACTCACCGAGAGGTTGTGCACGACCACGTTGGGGAGGTTGAGCATCTTGAGCTCCGCGGGAGTCACTTGGTGAAGTGAGCGAAACTGTGCTTGGTGGTACTCTGCAGCTGGGCTTGCATGCAGCGTGGGTATTAGTGGGTGGAGGAGTTTTCAGATGGGCTGTGACTCACCGAGAGGTTGTGCACAACAACGTTGGGAAGCTTGAGCATCTTGAGCTCCGCCTGGAGTGACTACTTGGTGAACTGGGGTGGAGACAAGAGTAGTCTCACCAGGAACGCTGGCACGGGGAGTGGCAGGAGCATACCGAGAGGTTGTGCACGACGACATTGGGGAGCTTGAGCATCTTGAGCTCCGCTTGCAATGACTTGGTGAACTGCGCGAGGCTGCGCTTGGTTGCTCCGTACGCTGCGAAGCTGATAGGGTGGAGGAGATGAAGGTACAAAAGCGGGGATAAGGGAGCACAGGGAGAAAGGGAAGCAACAGGAGGGTGTGTCTCCGCCTGGAGTGACTTGGTGAACTGCGCCAGGCTGCGCTTGAGTCAGGCTGCGCCAGGCTGTACAAAGAGTGTGGCGTGTGAGCGGCTACGAATCCACTCTCCCACTCACCGCGGAGTGGCGTTGCCACCCCACCTCGCGCCTGGTTGGCAGACCCACCGCCATCCATGTTGACATTATGTCCCCACTGGGCTGGTCCCTCCCTCATGGGGCGCATGTCACATGGTGTGTGTGCTACAGGGTACAGGGCAGACAGCGAGCAACCAATGCACTCACCGCGGAGTGGCGTTGCCATCAGCCCCACGGCCATCCATGTTGACATTATGTCCCCACTGGGCTGGTCCCTCCCTCATGGGGCGCATGGCACATGGTGTGTGTGCTACAGGGTACAGGGCAGACAGCGAGCAACCAATGCACTCACCGCGGAGTGGCGTTGCCATCAGCCCCACGGCCATCCATGTTGACATTATGTCCCCACTGGGCTGGTCCCTAATGGGGCGCATGGCACATGGTGTGTGTGCTACAGGGTACAGGGCAGACAGCGAGCAACTCATGCACTCACCGCGGAGTGGCGTTGCCATCGGCACCAGCACCGTCCATGTTGAATATGTGGCCCCCTCTAGGCTGCTCCCTCATGAGCCATACACCGCAAGCCGCATATGCCTGCTCCTCAAGCACTCACCGCTGGGTGGCGTTCCCATCAGCCCCAGCACCATCCATGTTGAATATGTGGCCCCCACTGGGCTGCCTGCTCCCTCATGTCCTCCTAAGGCGCATGGCGCATAGTGTGTGTGCTAAACGGTACAGACAGAGCAGGGCGGACCTACAGCAACCGGACTCACTCACCGGGGGTTGACGTTGCCGTCAGCCCCAGCACCATCCATGTTGAAAATGTGGCCCCCACCGGGTTGATGTGTGTGTATGTGGTACAGATACAGACTGTGTTCAGACAGATTCCAGGGTAACTCACTCACCGCGGAGTAGCATTGCCGTCAGCCCCAGCACCATCCATGTTGAAAATGTGGCCCCCACCGGGTTGATCCCTCATCAGCCGCATGGCCTGGCGGCAGCACAGCATGACGCCCAGCACGTTGGTTCGCACTATCTCCCTATGTGGAGGGAGGAATGGAGGGCGGGGGAAGAGAGGGGAGGGAGGTAGGAGATTGGAGGCAGCAGCATTGGCAGCACAGCACGACGCGTATTTCCAATGTTGCTGCATCTGCCGCCTCCACCAGGGGTGCGTGCTCATACGCATTGGAACCTCATGATCCTTCTAGCTCTCACCGCGCTATCTATGGCTATCCCGCACCTTCTGCTTCCTTGCTCTCTACTCACTCGATAGCTGCATCCCCCGCCTCCACCAGGGGTGCGTACTCGTACGCGTTGGAGCCTGCGTTGTTGATCTGCCATGCACCCATGCACCCATGCACCCATGTCCCATGCACCCATGCACACGTGCACGGTGCACACATGCATACATGCACACTTGCACCCACGCACGAACAAATTGAGAGAAAGAACACAGGCACAAAATGAAGTCAACTAAGGTCAACACCACACGCAGGAGGTCAACTCTCATGTCAACTCAGTTCAACTCCAAGTAAAGTCACTTCAGCTCAAGTCAACTCACACACACATTCACGGAGCCGAGTGGTTTGAGATTAGTCAGATCGAGTCAGCTCTCAGATCGATGCGCGCCAACACACGTCAACTCAAGTCAACGCGAGTCAACATGGTCAACTCACCCACACATCCACGGAGCCAAGGGATTTGACAGCAAAGTCAGATCGAGTCAAATCTCAGGTCAACTCAAGTTAACGCAGGTCAACGCAGGTCAACTCAAGTCAACTCACCCACACATCCACAGAGCCAAGGGATTTGACTGCAAAGTCAGCCAGAGCCTTCACATCGTCCCCTTTAGAGACATCGCATGCAATGCCCTGGAGTGGGGAGGGGTGTGGTGGGGCGCAGTAGGTTTGCGAAGCGAAGGAGTGCGGTGGGATATGGGAAGTGAAGGAGGTAAGTGACGGAACGGCGAAGAGCAGCGAGAACTGAGGAATTCAAGAGAAAATTCATGAACTAACACACAACCTGACACGATCTGATTCATAACCTGACACACCATACTCACTGCCACGCCACCTTCTCTGGCCCACTCCTTACTACCACTCGCCACCACTCCCCATCACTCACTCTTCACCACTCTCCACCACTCACCACCACGTTCTCTTTGCCAAACTCCTTCTGCAGTTGAGCAACCACATCGTCCACCCTCTCCCCTGCATCTCATGGCAAACGCACAGGATAGCACACACCACTCACTACCATTCCCTACCACTCTCCACTACTCCCCACCACTCTCAACCACTCACCACCACATTATCCTTGCCAAATTCCTTCTGCAGTTGAGCAACCACATCGTCCACCCTCTCGCCTGCATGCACGCAAGGCAAAGATGAGAACGAGTAAGAAGGCAAGCAAAGACAAAAGGGCAAAGACGACAATTCAGGCCATCCACTATGCCTTTTGATTCGACTCAAAAGTCAACTTGGTTTGACTTTCCTGTACCTAGCATTGCACTACTAGGTTGACATCCTGTGCAAAGTTGACTTTTGAGTCGACTCGAAATTCAGCTGGGCAAGGTCGCTAGATAACAAAACATAGCAGCACTGTAGACCACCACCACAAAACAACACCACTCTCCTCGCACCTGATCGTGAGGATACCATGAATTTGTGTTTCCAACCACACATCATCGCACACCACCACACTCTATTCCTCTCTCACCTGATCGTGAGCACACCACGACTCTGTCTCCCGCCCTCAGGAACTCACGCACCAATGCCAGGCCGATGCCTTGATTGGGGGAGGAGGAAGGGTGAGGATGGGGAGGGGAAGGAATAGGGGAGAGGAAGGCAGGGGAAAGGCAGATAACAAGTTGAGGACACACCACACCACCACCAGCACCACAACCACGACTCTGTCTCCCGCCCTCAGGAACCCACGCACCAATGCCAGGCCGATGCCTTGTTTTTTTTCCGGCGGGGGGGAGAGAGGCAGGGGAAAATTGGGGGGGGGGGGGGGGGTGGTTCAGAGAAGTCTCAGGGATTTGGAAGTGGGAAGGGGAAAAGGGGGGGAAGGGGGAGAAAGGGGAGGTGGGGGGGAGGGTAAAAAGGACAGTCCCTAGCCTGATAAGCGATAAATAGATATTGTTATCAACTCATTAAAGAGGGGGGGTGGAGCGGGAAAGGGGGGTTGGGGATGGGCGGATCATTGGCTCCGCATTCGCCGCTTGTTGACAACTCATAACGCGCTACGGCCCCTAGATTGATCCCGAGGCGACCCACAAAGCGGTACAGCCAACTACGCTGACCTTTAGTCGATCCGGTAACAACGACGTTGTACGACTTGCTAACTCCCGCGCCGCCGCCAGGAGTCGCCGACGTCGCAGGCTTGTCGCTCACGGCTGAGGCGACGACGCGCAGCGCCGTCGCACGGCGCTCGCACACGCCCGCATTCGTCGCAGGCGATACGGGGATGCGACGAGAGGCGAGCGACGAATATACTGGCTGGCCGCTAACAAACACCGTCGAGGGACCAACGCGTTTCTGCCACGTGGCAGACGACGACAGGTTCGCGTGGATTGCCGCGACCGAAGCGTTAATTGCGGTGGCCATGGCGGCGGAAATGGCGCTGAGCGAAGAGCTAAGAGACTGAGAACTGACAAGATAGGCAAAGTGGGGAATCGTGGTGCGAATCACAAAGATACATCACTCACGTACGCGTTACAGTTAACTCGCTTTTGGTCTGTGCATCCATGAAAGCACACGTACTAACATCCAAACTGTTAATGAAGGCGAAATTACTTTCGGCAGCTTATTCTTCTAATCCATACATCCATCCGATCCGAGACAAACTGAATATTCCTAAGCAGGAACACATTTGCAAGTCCAATATCGGTTATCGGTAACTAGAAGCCAGCACCCGACACCACCTCGCCGACAGTCCGCCCGTACTGCGGCCCGCCGCTGCGATAAGCGAAGAGATTACGGTGTTGTTTTGTTCACTCAAATTCTACTACCGTACCAGTGGTAACTACCTAGAAACCAGCGCCTGAGACCTTCTCCCCGACAGTCTGGCCGTACTGCGGCCCGCCGCTGCGATACGCGAAGAGGTAGTCGATTGTGAGACCCGTGAGGGGATGGGGGATGATCCCAAGGTCCTTGAATGTGAGCGCTGGGGGGAAGGGCGAGGACGAAAAAGGAAGTAACAGTGGGAGGGGTAAAGAGGACAAAGAAAGTGAGCCAGGCAAAGTGGTCGCCAATGGTGAGACCAGTGAGAGGGCACGGGATGATGAGGTGATGTGAAGTACTTGAATGTGAGGGTGATGGTGAGGAGAAGGGAGATGGAAGAAGAAAACCAAGACATGAACCACGCGGTGAGAGGAAGAGAACAAGAGGGAGCAATGAGGCAGTTGGTGGTTGAGGCCCTTGAGAGGATGCGGGATGAGCCCAAGGTCCTTGGTGATAGGGGGAAACGATGGGGAAGGGATGCAAAGCGAGGCAATGGATGGGGGAAAGGGGGAAGGAAGCGGGGAAAGTGAAGGGAAGAGGTAGTGACGGGTCAGGCTCAAGCGCAGGAGGGGCGCGTGAGGAGGGGAGCGTGGACGGTAGTGGCCGGGATGCGAAGACGCATGACACATTATTGCGAGGGGAAAAGGATTTCAGACAATGAGAAGAATCTGTTGTTTGAGAACTCTCAAAAACCGAATTCTAAAAAAAACAGACTCAGTGGCCGGGATGCGAAGACGCATGACGCATTACTGCGAGGCGAAAAGGATTTCAGACAATGAGAAGCCGTGTAAAGACCAATGGAAAGAGAGTGTAAGCCTACTGTTGGGGAAGACGATGTGGGGGAAGGAGAGGGAGTTGATGTAGTCGAGTGTGAACATGGTTGGGCTGGGTGGGGATGGGCACTGCATGGTGCCTCGATTGCAGGGAGTACCGCTGACTGGGAGGGAATACAAGGTGTTACAGGGCCTACCGTTTGAGGAGAGAATGGGATAGAGAGAGACCGTACCGTTGGGCGAGACGATGTGGGGGAAGGAGAGGGAGTTGATGCAATCGAGCGTGAACATGGTGGGGCTGGGGATGGGCGTTGCGAGGGGTTGTGAAGTGAAGGGCCTCAACACACAGCTGATACAAGTAACGGGGCTTACTGTATGGGCATTGAAGCCCAGAACAACATACCGTTGGGTGAGACGATGTGCGGGAAGGAGAGCGAGTTGATGTAATCGAGCGTGAACATGGTGGGGCTGGGGATGGGCGTTGGCACGCGGTGGAGAAGGAACTCCCGTGGCGTGGCGAGGGCCTGAGAGGGGCATAAGGGGCAGGAAAAATGGCAGAAAAGGGTGAGATAAGCTACTGATATTGGTAAGAGTGCTGAGGAAATTTCTCAGGCCCCAATTGTCCCACCTACCAGCACCACTTGCCATCATACTTGCATCTCATACCACTCCCAACCTGTTTGCACCACTCACTCACCCGGGCGACAGGAAGAGGGACGCTGAGAATGGAGGAGTGCTGGCGAATGGTTTCCAAGACACGGTTCACCTGTGCGGAAGGGGGAGGGAGGGTGGGGAGGGGAGAAAAGAGGGGAGGAATGCGAGGAGTGGGGAAGGGGAGAAGGGATGGGAAGGATGGTGAGAATGGACGAGTGCTGGCGAATGGTTTCGAAGACACGATGCACCTGTGGGGGGGGATGGGGAGGGTTGGGAGACGACGAGAAGGGGAGGGAGGGGAGAAAGGAGGTAGGGGAGGAGGGAGGGGAAGGAGATGCTGAGAATGGAGGAGTGCTGGCAAATGGTTTCCAAGACACGGTTCACCTGTCACGGTTCACGGTGGCAGGGGAGGGAGGACAAGTGAGGCAACCAAGGAGGAGTCAGACGTTTGATTTGAGAATGGGCAACGGGAATCAAATCACGACCTCTAAAGTCACTGGAGCAACAACTGGTTTGGCCGTCCGACCTCTAAACCCGACCTACCAAGGCTTTAAGCTAGTTAGAAGTTACCAGGTCCCTGATTTGAAGCACTTCCGGCCCGCCCAGCTCGAACGTCTGCCCACAGCTGCTGCCGTCGTCAGTGACGGTGGCGTTGACTGCCGTTGCCACGTCCAAAACGTACACTGGCTGAATACTGGTCGGCGGGCGGGGAGGGAGGGGAGTATGGGGAGGGGCAACGGGAAGAGGGGGGAAGAGAGGTGTGGAAACACCAAGTATTATCGTCAGTGACGGTTGCGTTGACTGCTGTTGCCACGCCTAGCACATACACTGGCTGGATACTGGAGAGGTCGAGGAAGGGGAGGGAGGGGAAGGAGTGTTGGGGAGAGAGGAGGAAAGGAGAAGTCGAATACGCTGGCTGAACGCTGGCTGGAGGAAGAAGGCAGGGGGGAGGGAGGTAGGTGCAATAGCTGGGACAAACGAATCTTACGGCAATGCCACTTACAGTGCCTTGTTCCCCTTATAACGGGGAAAAAACTATGAATCTACATCGAAACGCCACTTACAGTGTCTTGCCGCCTGCTATAACGGGGACAAACGGGAACTTCTTGGCCATGAGCGCCCAGCTGTTGAGCAGGCGATCCTCCGTGCCGGCCAGAGGGCCCGTCCTCAGGATGGTGGCCTGGTGGTAAAGGGAGGGAGAGAGAGGAACAGGGGAGGAGGTACAAGGAAGAGGGCACGAGCTACTTTGCCATGAGCGCCCAGCCCAGCTGTTGAGCAGCCGGTCCTCCGTGCCCGCTGCCAGAGGACCCGTCCTCAGGATGGTGGCCTGGACTGGAAAAGGGGGAGCGCGGAGGGAAGGAAGAGAAGGGATGAATGCAAGGGAAGCGGGGCCATGGGGAGAAGCGCCCAGCAGAGAACCTGAAACCCAAAATCTTGGACCCTCAAACCACTCACCTGTGGGAACTTTTGAGTCGACTCTAAAGTCACCTAGCGCCCAGCAGAGAACCTGAAATCCAAAATCTTGAACCTGAACCCTGGACAACAAACTCTCACACCACTCACCTGTGGGAACTCCGCCAGCACTGCTGCCTCCCCCAGCGCCTTGGTCTGGTGCTGCTTGGAGGGCGCGTGAGGAGCCGCGCCCAGGCAGGAGAGGTGCACCATCCTTGCAATGCCGCCATGCTCCCTGGCGACCTGGCATGGTGAGGGGTTGGGGAAAGGAGGGGGTTGGGGAAAGGAGGGGGTTGGGGAAGGGCGTTGAGGGTGAGTGGAGCGATGGGAGCAGCGCCCAGGCAGGAGAGGTGCACCATCCTTGCAATGCCGCCATGCTCCCTGGCGATCTGAGAGGAGGGAGGAGGCGGGGAGGGGGGTGAGGGGCGTAGAGTAGAGGTTGGGGAAATGCGCGCGTGGGAAGGAGTAGCGCCCAGACAGTAGAGGTGGACCATCCTTGCAATGCCGCCATGCTCCCTGGCGATCTGAGAGGAGGGAGGAGGCGGGGAGGGGGGTGAGGGGCGTAGAGTAGAGGTTGGGGAAATGCGCGCGTGGGAAGGAGTAGCGCCCAGACAGTAGAGGTGGACCATCCTTGCAATGCCGCCATGCTCCCTGGCGATCTGAGAGGAGGGAGGAGGCGGGGAGGGGGGTGAGGGGCGTAGAGTAGAGGTTGGGAAATGCGCGCGTGGGAAGGAGTAGCGCCCAGACAGTAGAGGTGGACCATCCTTGCAATGCCCCCATGCTCCCTGGCGATCTGTGGATGACAAGGGGTAGGGGGAAAGGGGGAAACGCGAGGGGGACTATTAATGCGAGGGGGACTATTAATGTGTGGGGGGGCAACGGCCAGGCAGGAGAGGTGCACCATGCGTGCGATGCCGCCATGCTCCCTGGCGATCTGAGGGGGATGATGAAGGGTGCACAAGAGGGCATGGAGCACGAGATATGGAGAGTAAGCAGGGGAATGGACATGTGGGGAGCAGCGCCCAGGCGGGACAGGTGCACCATGCGTGCGATGCCGCCATGCTCCCTGGCGATCTGAAGGGGGGAGGGGGTTGATGTACGGGAAGGAAGGGGAGTGAGAAGAGGAATGGGAGCAGATGAATCAGCGGCGCCCGGGCAAGAGAGGTGCACCATGCGTGCGATGCCGCCATGCTCCCTGGCGATCTGGTGTGTGGAGCAAGGAGCATGCTAGGAATGGAAAAAGAAGGAAGGGAGTAAGCAGAGGAATGACAAGGACCGCACACGGCACAGCATCCTGGCAATGCGCTGAGGTGCTGGGATGTTGCTTACACAGCCCAGGTCAACACAGGTCAACGCAGGTCAACTCAGCTTACCCTGGCAATAAGCTGAGGTGCTGGAATGTTGATGTTATCAAAGCTGAAATTGGGTATACAGCCTCAGTCAACCCAGGTCAACGCAGGTCAACGCAAGTCAATTCAGCTCACCCTGGCAATGCACTGAGGTGCCGAAATGTTGATATCCTCGAAGCTAAGATGGCTCATACAGCCCAGATCAATGCAGGTCAACGCAGGTCAACGCAGGTCAGCCCAGGTCAGATTCACTCACCCTGGCAATGCGCTGAGGAGCTGAGATGTTGATGTCCTCAAAGCTGAAGTTGCGCGTCTCAAAGTCACGGCCTGGGTGGGGTAGGGAGAGGAGGATAGAGGAGGACGGAAGTAGGGAGAGGAGAGGGGGGAGTGACGATGGGAGGAGAGAGGCACCGAGATGTTGATGTCCTCAAAGCTGAAGTTGCGCGTCTCAAAGTCACGGCCTGGAGGAAGAGAGCGGAGGACAGAGGACGGGGGGGGGGGGGGGGGGGAGGAGAGGAGGAGAGAGGAGGGGAGGAGGAGAGAGGAGGGGAGGAGGAGAGAGGAGGGGAGGAGGGAGGGAGAAGGGGAGGAGAGAGGCAAGGACATGTTGATGGGCTCAAAACTGAAGTTGCGCGTCTCAAAATCGTGGCCTGGAGAGGGTAGGGCAAAGGCAACAGGGTGCAGATGTGACAAAGAGGGGCGACGAGGAGAGAAGAGGGGTGAGAGGAGGGGGAGGAGAGGCGTGGGCAAAGCTGGTTTGACTTTAAAAGAAAGAAAAGAAGAAAATTAAAATCTCAGTTTACCAGAACCGACCTGTTCAGAGCACAGCTACTGACCGATGAGGTTGATGACAACATTCGACTTGGCAATAGCAGCAGCAACGCTCTCATCGCTCCTCACGTCAAACGGAACAGGCACCACCTGATGAGAAAAGGGGGTGGGAGGGAGGGAGGGGGTAAAGGGGGAGAAAGTGAGCGAAGATATTGGTACGAGGGCAGCAACACCAGCAGCAATGCTCTCATCGCTCCTCACGTCGAACGGAACAGGCACCAGATGTTGAGAAAGGACGGGAAAAAGGAGAGGGTAAGGAAAAGAGAGAGAGAGAGATGGAAAACATGTATACGGGAAGAGTGAACGACAGCAAAACGAGTGAGCAACCCCAGCAGCAATGCTCTCCTCCCGTTGCAGACTCCACATTCCACCAAGCCACAGTTACACCTACCGCCTCCAAAAGGTCTCACCTGCCCCCACATTGCTCGCACCCGCCCCAGCCAGGTCTCACCTGCCCAAAGTCGCCACACAGCTTGACTTGAGGTGCCTGTGCTCGTCAGCCAGGTGATATCTCCTGTCCCACATCCCACCTAGTCCAAGTATCATTTGCCCCGAATATCACCTGCCCTATGTCTCACCTGTCCCAGATCGCCACACAGCTTGAGGTGCCTGTGATCGTCCTCCAGGCACCTATATCCTGCCTCACATCCCAGATATCACCTGCCCCGAATAACACCTCCCCTTTACCTCACCTGGCCCAGGTCGCCACACAGCTTGAGGTGCCTGTGGTCGTCCTCCAGGCAGTGATAACGTACCAAGCCCTTGTCTCATACTCCTGCAACTAGCCCCACAGATCTCACCTTCCCCAGGTCTCACCTGCCCCAGGTCGCCACACAGCTTGAGGTGCCTGTGATCGTCCTCCAGACAGCGATAGGGCACCATCACCTGCGAGCCAGAGCGTGCTGTGGGGGAGAGAGGGAAGTGGGGGTGAGGATATGGGTGGAGGAGATATGAGACGAACGGAATGAGGTGCCTGTGATCGCCCTCCAGGCAGCGATAGGGCACCATCACCTGGGAGCCAGAGCGGGCTGTGAGGGGGGAGAGCGCGAGAGGGTGGGAGAGAGAGGGAGGTTGGGAGATATGGAGGGTAGAAGAGGCAACGAAAGAGGTGCCTGTGATCGCCCTCCAGACAGCGATAGGGCACCATCACCTGGGAGCCAGGGCGGGCTGTGAAGGGGGAGAGCGCGAGAGGGTGGGAGAGAGAGGGAGGTTGGGAGATATGGAGGGGATGTGAGAGGAACGGAATGAGGTGCCTGTGATCGCCCTCCAGGCAGCGATAGGGCACCATCACCTGCGAGCCAGAGCGGGCTGTGAGGGAGAGAGAGGGGGAATGGAAAGGGGTATCGTCACTTGGGACTGGAGGCGGGCAGTGGAATCATAAAATCAACTTAGTGAGAGAGAAAAAAAGAATCTGTATAGCGAAACTTGGGCAGGAAATGAGAAAGAAAACACTTATTAGCAAGCGAATCACTTACCTAGCTGCTGCACCACGTATCTCCCCAGAAAGCCCGTGGCGCCAAACACAGTCGCGACCATGCCACTGCAGGGAGACGGGAGCACATGCAGGGAGGGGAAGGGGGCAGAAGAACACGAACACGTTTAGAACACGTTCCTTGAAGATTTAGAAAAAATCATCAGAAAAAAGGAGCGTACGGAGAAACAACAGGAAGGGAGGCGGCACTCAGACCGACAGTTGTGCTATTCGGCGCTCACCTGACCGACGAGCGTAATTTTGAGTCGACTCAAAAATGGGGAAACGACAGGAAGGGAGTCGTCTCCCGGGCCGACAGTTGAGTCGACTAAAAAATGGGGACATTTTTGGTGGCTCAATCCCGGGCGTATTTTTGAGTCGGCTCCCGGGCCAACAGTTGTGAGATTCGGCGCTCACCTGACCGACGAGCGACCGCCAGGGCCGCGCGCGGCGACGCTGCTGCGAACAGCGAGCGACGTCGCAGTGCGGCTGGCGATGGACGGCGACAGATCGCCAGCGCTGCTGCTGACAGCGGAGGTTCCTGCGAATCGGGAATGCGGGGAGAGAGATCGGGCTGGGAAATGGAGGACGGCGGAGGACGTGGCAGTGCGAAACCCTTCGCAGTGCTTTGCTGTCTTTCGCCCTTCCCTTGTACTGCGGACGACAGAGGACGTGGCACTGCGAACGTACTGAGCCGTATCACACCAACTTTTTTAATCAACTAAAAAAATCACCGCAAAGGTACTGAGCTGTATCTCACAGCGCTACCAGCAAGAAAACGACAGCCCCGCATTGCTAGAAACGGTTACCACAAGTCACCCGACCCCGTCTATCCGGATCGCCGTCAAAGACGAAAATTATTCAGGGTCGTCAGATGATGAGATCGCGATCGTCATCGCGTTATCAGATCGTCGCATCAAAGTGTATCATCGGATCGTCTTACCATGAACTGCCTGCCACTCAGTGTTTCCCATGAACTCTCACGAGTGGGAAATCTCGTGGTTATGTAATGTCGAGTATAAGATCTCAAATGGACTAACGAGCTAGTTTCGGATCGTCTCACCATGATCATCCACGAGCGGGAACACACGCGGCTTTTCTGAGATACTCAAAGTAGCTATCGTAATAACTATTCGCATCGCCTCACCACGCACATCCACGAGCGGACACACATGCGGCTCTCCCCTCACCGTGAATATCCACGAGCGGGAACACGCGCGGCGCCGACGACGCCAGCAACCGCGCGAATCCCGAGGCTTGCCTTCGCGACAGCATGACTACAATCGAGACGGCTAATAACGGAGGCTCTGCGAGGCGCGAATGACTGGAAGGACGAGACCAGACGGGTAGCCCAAGTGGTGCTGATCGGTGCGGCGTGGTGCTGAGAGGTGCTGAGAGGTGTTAACTCAGGCCACAAAGCTCAGAAATCAAGCGCGGATCCCCCGCTCGAGATCGCTCCAGGAGCTCAGGATACGATCTGGCTCCACGGAGAGAAAAGCGGCAAGCCCACTAACGGACTTACTACTGACCTAGAAGCGATCTAGGTTTGAAAGGCTACTACACCAGATGCCCGTTGCAGACCCACAAGGTTACTCGTCATTTTGGGTGTGAAGTGAGCACAATCATTTCACCTGCCTCGCCAACATTCTCAACGGGACTTTAGTAAGCACGTTGTTACGAGTGCAATTGAGCAAGCGAGCGAAAAATCCACTATCGAAGCAAAACAGTACATTGAGCGAAGGCATGAGCGAAGAATATATAGCGAAGCTAGGGTGGTAACGGTAATGTGTGAAAATGGGGTGCGCTACGGGCCTAGCGCCGAGGCTGGGAATTGTCGAGGCGGAGGTCCGGAGCGCGGGTTACCAACCGAACCGTGAGGTTGGGTCGCGTCGTGAACAGTGGAAGGAACAGTAGTCGAGGCGAGTGTCGCGAGTGGTAACGGTGCATTGTTGAGAGTTGTTGGCGGAAACAGTGATGCACGCGCCGAGCAGGGACGCGAAGTAAGGAAAACAAAATTTCCTTACACTACCCCCCCCCTCTAAGGAGACCGTCCTTACGAAAGCGCGTGTATCCAGGGGAACCCAGTTGTCTTCGGTTGGCGTTCGGTCTTTCCAGCGGATTAGAAATTCGATCATGCGAGCTCCACGTGGGTCATGAACTCGGTGGCTTAGTATTTTTTCGGGCGTGATGATTGGCTCTGTTTCGTGTCATGCTGGCTAGGAGGTTGCGGAGTAGTTGGCTGGTGGATGGTATGTATGGGCGAAGCAGGCTCACGTGGAAAGACAAGCTGACGTACCATTCAGCAGGAAAGAGGAGGTGGCCGGTAAAGAGGGTAAAGAGAGTTTTGGGGTGATGGGCAGGCGGAGGTTCTGTGTGTCGGGATGGTAAGTGATGGGTTGGCGGTGGCGGTCGGCGTTGCGCTTAGCGATGATGTTTGATTTTTTTATTGCGTCTGCTACTCGGGTCCGTGCTGTCTGTAAAATTTTGGCGAATTGTTGCGCTCGTGGCACCGAGTTGTCGGGATTCGGGGTCATGGGTACTATGGAGTCTTGTCCGTAGTGAAGGTAGAAAGGTGACTGTTGGGTCGTGGCGAAGGGCGAGTTGTTGTATGCGAATTCGATGAGTGGTAGGTGCTGTTCCCACGTGGTCGGGTCGTCGCACCTGATTAAGTGTTCCATGGTTTGGTTTGTCTGTTCTGTCTATCTGACAGTCTCGGGGTGGTATGACGAACTAAACTCTAGTCGCGTGCCGAACCACTGCCATAGGTTCCGCCAGAAGTTGCTGGTGAATTTTGTGTGGCGGTCGCTGTTGATTGCCGCTGGTATCCCGTGCAGTCGAACGGCGGTGGCGATGAAGAGGCGGGCTGTTTCTTCGGCTGTGAATTTTGTAGGCTGCGAAAGGTGCCATCTTCATCAGCCGATCGAAGACGACCAGGATCGCGTCGTTCCCACTTGCCCCGTAACGAAGTCCATCGTCACCTGCAGCCAAGCACGCTCTGGGGGTGGTATCGGCTGCAACTGTCCTGCCGGCCGCTTCCGTGATCATTTCATGGATTGGCAGGTGGGACACGATGCCACGTGTCGTTGCACGTCGGTCAGCATCTCGGGCTAGTAATCATACCACTGCAGCTGCTGCCAGACTGCCCAACGCGTCACTTTGATCGGTCCACTGCACTTGATGCCTCTATTGTTTTTGCTAGTCCACTAGATTATACTGTTTCCTGCATCCACAGCAAGTGTTTCCATTCCGTTCAATGTGGTTTCAGGGTTTGAGCGCTTGAACTCTGCCGGGTACGCTCGTTATATGTGCCCATACTGACCAGACTGCCCAACGCGTCACTTTGATCGGTCCACTGCAGAAAGTGTTTCCATGTGGTTTGCAGGATTTGAGCGCCTGAACTCTGCCCGGTACGCTCCTTATATGTGCCCGTACTGACCAGACTGCCCAACGCGTCACTTTGATCGGTCCACTGCAGAAAGTGTTTCCATGTGGTTTGCAGGATTTGAGCGCCTGAACTCTGCCCGGTACGCTCCTTATATGTGCCCGTACTGACCAGACTGCCCAACGCGTCACTTTGATCGGTCCACTGCATTAGATGCCTCTTTTTTATAGCTAGTTAACTAGATTATACAGTTTCCCGCATCCACAGCAAGTGTTTACATTTCGTTCCATGTGGTTTGCAAGACTTCAGCGCCTGAACTCTGCATGGTACACTCATAATATGTGCCCATACTGACCGGACTGCCCAACGCATCACTTTGATTGGTCCACTGCATTCGATGCCTATTCGTTCAGGCTAGACCCCTAGATTAGACTACTTTCCGCATCCACAGCAAGTGTTTCCCTTTCGTTCCATGTGGTTTGCAAGATTTGAGCGCCTGAACTCTGCCCGGTATGCTAACCATTTTCATTACCATTACCACTACCATTACCATTACCACTACCATTACCATTACCATTACCATTACCACTACCATTACCATTAGCAGCTGAGTGTGTGAGCAACGAACCTTAGTGTGCGAGCAGCACAACTGACGGTGCGAGCCACGCAGCTGAGGGTGCGAGCAACACAGCTGATTGTGCGAGCAACGAACCTGAGTGTGCGAGCAACGTAGCTGAGGGTGCGAGCAACGCAATTGAGGGTGCGAGCAACGTAGCTTAGTGTGCGAGCAACAAAGCAGAGAGTGCGAACAACGATGCTGAGGGTGCGAGCTACGCAACTGAGGGTGCGAGCAACGCAACTGAGTGTGCGAGCAACGCAGCTGAGCGTGTGAACAGTGCAGCTGAGCGTGAGAGCAACGCAGCTGAGTGTGTGAGAATAGCATCTGAGTTTGCGAGCAACGATGCTGAGGGTGCGAGCAATGCAGCTGATTGTGCGAGCAACGCAGCTCATCGTGCGAACAACGCAGCTGAGGGTGCGAGCAACGCAGCTGAGTGTGCGAGCAACGCAACTGGGGGTGCAAGCGACACAGCTGAGGGTGCGAGCAACGCAGCTGAGTGTGCGAGCAACGCAGCTCAGGGTGCGAGCATTGCAGCTGAGTGCGCGAGCATCACAGCCGAGTGTGCGAGCAACCCAGCACAGCGTGCGAGCAACGCAGCTGAGCGTGCGAGCAACGCAGCAAAGCATGCGAGCAACGCAGCAGAGCGAGCGAACAACGCAATTGAGGGTGCGAGCAACACAGCTGAGCGTGCGAGAAACACAGCAGAGGGTGCGAGCAACGCAGCTGAGTGTGCGAGCAACGCAGCTGAGTGTGCGAGCAACGCAGCTGAGTGTGCGAGCAATGCAGCTGAGGGTACGATCAATGCTGATAAGGGTGCGAGCAGCCCAGCTGAGTGTGTGAGCAATGAACATGAGTGTGCGAGCAACGCAGCTGAGGGTGCGAGCAATGCGGCTGAGGGTGCGAGCAACGCAGCTGAGTGTGCAAGCATCGCAGCTGAGGGTTCGAGCAATGCAGCTAAGGGTGCGAGCAACGCAGCTGAGGGTGCGAGTAACGCATCTGAGTGTGCGAGCAACGCATCTGAGGGTGCTAGCAACGCAGTTGAGGGTGCGAGCATAGTAGCTGAGTGTGCGAGCAACGCAACAAAGTGTGCGACCAACACAGCTGAGGATGCTAGCATCGTAGCTGAGGGTGCGAGCAACGCAACTGAGGGTGCAAGCAACGCAGTTGAGGGTGCGAGCAGCGCAGCTGAGCGTATGAGCAACGCCGATGAGGGTGCAAGCAACGCAGCTGAGCCTGCGAGCAATGCAGCTGACGGTGCGAGCAACGCATATAAAAGTGTGAGCAACGCAGCTGAGTATGCGAGCAACCTTGCTGAGGGTGCGAGCATCGCAGCTGAGGGTGCGAGCAAAGCAGCTGAGTGTGCAATCAACGCAGCTGAGCATGCGAGCAACGCAGCTGAGGGTGCGAGCAACGCGGCTGAGCATGCGAGCACTGTAGCTGAGGGTGCAAGCAATGTACCTGTGTGTGCAAGCAACGCAGCTGAAGGTGTGAGCATGCTGCAGAGGGTGCGAGCAACGCAGCTGAGTGTGCGAGCAATGCAGCTGTGGGTGCGATCAACACTGATGAGGGTGCGAGCAACGCATCTGAGTGTGTGAGCAACGAACCTGAGTGTGCGAGCAATGCAGCTGAGGGTGCGGGCAATGCGGCTGAGGGTGCGAGCAACGCAGCTGAGTGTGCAAGCATCGCAGCCGAGGGTTTGAGCAACGCAGCTGAGGGTGCGAGCAACGCAGCTGAGGGTGCGAGCATCACTTCTGAGTGCGCGAGCAACGCATGAGAGCGTGCAAGCAACACAGGTGAGCGTGCGAGCAACGCAGAAGAGCATGGAGCAATGCAGCTGAGTGTGCGAACAACGCAGCTGAGGGTGCAAGCAACACAGCTGAGTGTGCGAGCAATGCAGCTGAGATTGAGAGCATCGCAGATGAGTGTGTGAAGAACGCAGCTGAGGGTGCGAGCAACGCAGCTGAGTGTGCGAACAACACAGCTGAGCGTGCGAGCAACACAGCTAAGGGTTCGAGCAGCGCAGCTGAGCATGCGAGCAACACAGCTGAGGGTGCGAGCAACGCAGCTGAGGGTGTGAGCAACGCAGCTGAGTGTGCGAGAAACGCAGGTAAGTGTGTGAGCAACGCAGCTGAGGGTTC